GACTTTTGAACGTTGTAATTATACCCACCTCCACCTTTTTCTGGCACCTCATTCCATGCATGAATCTCCCATTGCATGAAAAAGTTACCCCTCCGGTCCTTTTTAAATCTTCTTCCCCTCACCTTAAACCTATGTCCTCCAGTTTTGGACTCCCCCACCCTAGGGAAAAGCTATTGGCTGTTCACCCTATCCATGCCTCTCATAATTATATAAACCTTTATAACGTTGTTCCTCAGCCTCTGACACTCCAGGAAAAAATACCGCAGTCCTGGCAACATTCTTAAATCTTTTTTGCACCCTCTCAAGTTAAACAACATCCTTCCTATAGAACGGAGGCCAGAATTGTACATAGTAGTCTAAAAGTGGCCTCAACAATGTCCTGTTCAGCCGCAACATGACGTCCCAACTCCCATACTCAATGTTCTGACCAATGAAGGCAAGCATACCAAATGCCGTCTTCACCACCCTGTCTACCCCTGACTCCACTTTCAAGGAACTATGCACCTGTCCCCTGTCTCTTTATTCTGCAACACTCCCCAGGGTCCTACTGTTAAATGTATAAGTCCTGTCCTAGTTTGCCTTACCAAAATGCAACACCTCACATTTATCTAAATTCAACTCGATCTGCCACTCTTCAGCCATTGACCCACCTGATCAAGGACCCGTTGTACTTTGAGATAATCTTCTTCACCAGCTGCTGCTCCATCTATTTTTGTGTCCTCTGCAAACTTACTAACTATATCTCCTATATTCTCCTTCAAATCATTTATATAAATGACTAAAAGCAGCAGACCGAGCACCGTTCCTTGTGGCACACTGCTGGTCACAGGCCTTCAGTCCAAAAATCAACCCCCTACCACCATCCTTTGTCTCCTACCTTGGACTTGCACGCTAGCTTTTTGTGACTCGTGCGTAAGGACCCTAAATCCCGCTGTGCCGCAGCTTTTTGCAGTCTTTCCCTATTTAAATAATACTAATGTCTTCTATTCCTCTTGCCAAAATGCATAATCTCTCATTTGCCACATTACATTCCATCTGCCAAGTTTTTGCCCATTCATCTAACTTATCATAGAGTCATAGAGCTGTACAGCATGAAAACAGACCCCTTCAGTCCAAATCGTCCATGCTGACCAGATATCCTAAATTAATCTAGTCCCATTTGTCATCTTTTGGCCCATATCCCTCTAAATCTTTCCTATTCATATACCCATCCAGATGTCTTTTAAATGTTGTAATTATACTAACCTTCATCACTTCCTCTGGCAGCTCATTCCATACATGCACCACCCTCTGCATGAAAAAGTTGCCCCTAAGGTCCCCTTTTTAAATCTTCCCCTCTCACATTAAACCTATGACGTCTGGTTTTGGACCCCACCCCCCAGGCCCCGTCATTCACACTATTTGTCTTCCCACCTATATTTGTGTAATCTGCAAACTTAGCAATTTGCGTTCACTTCCGTCATTCAATCACTAATGTATATTCTAAATGATTGCCACCCTGTAACTGATTCCTGTGGCACTTTACTAGTTACAAGTTGGCATTCTGAAAATGCCCCTGACCCCAAACACACTTTTCTGTTAGTTAATCAACATGCTACTATACTACCTCCAATCCATGAGTTCTTATAAATAGCCTTATATGTGGTCCATTAATGAATGCTTTTCGGAAATCCAAATAGGTTACAGCTACTGCTTTTACTGAGTAGCACCGGAATGTAAGGACGTAAGAAACAGGCAAGAGTAAGCCATTCAACCCTTTGAGCCATCTCCATCATTTAATGAGATTGTAGCTGATCGTCTACTTCAAAACCATTTTCCTGCACCTGTAACCCTTTGTTTTTAATACATTGAAATCTATTGATCTCAGACTTGAAAATATGCAACGACTGAGCCTGCACAGCCCTTTGGAGTAGATTTCCACTAATTCACTTTGAGTGACTATATTCCTCAGTGTGTTCCTAAATGTCCTGCCCCTTATTTACCACAAGGATCTGTTCTGGGTCCTCTTCTATTTGTGTTTTTTTGTAAATGATTTGGATGAAGGAGTGGAAGGGTGGATTAGCAAGTTCGCGGACGATACGAAGGTGAGTCACGTTGTGGACAGTGCGGAGGGCTGTTCTAGGTTACAAAGGGACATTGATAGGATGCAGAGCTGGGCTGAGAAGTGGCAGATGGCGTTTAACCCTGAAAAGTGTGAGGTGATTCATTTTGGAAGGACAAACTTGAAAGCAGAATACAGGGTTAACGGAAAGATTCTTGGCAGTGTGGAGGAGCAGAGGGATCTTGGGGTTCATGTTCACAGTTCCCTGAGAGCTGCCACCCAGGTGGATAGAGTTGTTAAGAAGGCGTATGGTGTGTTAGCTTTCATTAACAGAGGGATTGAGTTCAAGAGCCGTGAAGTTATGCTCCAGCTATACAAAAGCCTGGTTCGGCCACATCTGGAGTATTGTGTCCAGTTCTGGTCACCTCATTACAGGAAAGATGTGGAAACGTTAGAAAACGTGCAGAGGAGATTTACCAGGATGTTGCCTGGAATGGAGGGAAGGTCTTACGAGGAAAGGTTGAGAGAGCTCGGGCTTTTCTCTTTAGAACAAAGGATGAGAGGTGACTTGATAGAGGTGTACAAAATGATCAGAGGTATGGATAGAGTGGACAGCCAGAGACTTTTTCCTAGGGTGGAGGTAGCTTTTACGAGGGGACATAGTTTTAAAGTGAAAGGAGGTAGATATCGGGGATACGTCAGAGGTAGGTTCTTTACTCAGAGAGTGGTAGGGGCATGGAATGCATTGCCAGAGAGGGTAGTGGAGTCGGCCTCATTAGGGGCATTTAAGCGGCTATTAGATAGGCATATGGATGATAGTATAAGGTAGCGGCGGAGGTTAGACAGACCTTAGGTTTAGGGTAAAAGTTCGGCACAACATCGTGGGCTGAAGGGCCTGTGGAACAGCAGCCCAAGATCAGATGTTATTTTCTACTTCCTATATTAAGTAATGAGAACTAACAGTAGGTAATGTGGGCCCTTGAGGTTGTATGCTATTCAATACGATCATGGTTGAACTTCCACTTCTCACCCTCTCTCTTCATTACCCAAGAAATGATTGATCCTATCCTTGAATATGCAGATTGACTGAGTATCCACAATCTCCTCTGATAAAGGATCCCAAACATTCACAAGCTTTCCTTGTCTCACTCCTGAATAATTGGCCCCTTATCTTGAGCCAGTGCTTGCTGTGCTAGAAGTTCCAATTGGGTGAAACCATCACTTAGCATCTATCATATCAAAAAGATTAATACTTTTAAATGAAATTACATCTTATTTTTCTGTTACGATTTCAGCTGACGTTATTACTGGACAAGTCAGATCCGACACTGAAATCTGACTTGACAGACCATACATTGTTTGGTTTTAATGAGGTAGTCTTCCACTGAAACACAAGTACACAATGTTGCAGGTTTGGTTTTAACAACAGAACAGAAATTTATTATGCAAAAAAAGACAAAATTGAGTAAACCAAACTATTTACACACAACACAAATTTAAAGATTTCAAAACACACTCTGGAATACAATCCAGTTAATCCTAAAGATCTCCTTTATTGCACTTGCACTAGAGTTCCGAGGAATCTTGGGACTCAAAACGTTAACTCTGTTTCTTTCTCCACAGATGCTGCTAGACCTGCTGTGTTTCTCCAGCCCTTTGTTTTTATTTCAGGAAGAATTTCCTTCTCTTTCAAATCTAAAAGGTGGCTTTAATTCCCTGCCTTTAAAATCTAATAGCCTTTTCCTGGAGCCTTCATACAACTGAATTTAGACTTTCACAGCTTCAAAATACCTCTCAGGGTTTTGAGCAAAAACCTCTGGTCTGTAACATTCAAATGTAACTCTGTATACTAAGTAAAATCTTTAACAGTTCTGAAACTACCTCCCTTTCTCAGAGTGAGTGTGTGACTCACTGATGGTTGAAGCGTAAATGGTTGATGGTTGATGTGTAAAACAAAGACATTTGCAAATTTCTCCAAACTGAAACTAAAAGGCTTTGTTTTAAAATCCAAGCGATGGATGTTTCCCTTATGTCCAAAGAAAATTTCAGAATCTTCGACCTGAAGGTCGAAAGTCTACGAAAGTACAGGGGGAGGCGATGGCCTAGTGCTATCGCTGGACCAGATAACGTTCTGGGGACCGGGGTTTGCATCCTGCCACGGCAGATGGTGGAATTTGATTTCAATAAATAGCTGGAATTAAGAATCTAATGATGACCATGAATCCATTGCCAATTGTTGGAAAGGCCCGAAACGTCAGCCTTCCTGCTCCTCTGATGCTGCTTGGCCTGCTGTGTTCATCCAGCTCTAGACCTTGTTATCTCAGATTCTCCAGCAACTGCAGTTCCTGCTATCTCTGGTTCACTAGAGCCCTTTAGGGAAGGAAACTGCCATCCTTACCTGGTCTGGTCTACATGTGACTCCAGATCCACTGTAATGTGGTTGACTCTGAACTGCCCTCTGGCAATTAGGGATGGGCAATGAATGCTGCCTAGCCAGTGACGCCCTCATCCCGCAAATGAATAAAGAAAAAAAAATTAATATACTACGCTGTTTACTTTATTCACTAGTAAACTCTCCTAATCTAAACAAATTCCCAATAGCCTTCTTGGACAATCTCCCTCAGATTATTGTTTTGAAAAGAAATTAATCATTCAACCCTTTTGGGGACATAGAAAATTCACATGCCATCTGTTCAAAATTCAGAAATACACAATAAGTGATATAAATACATATATAAATTAGTGTACATTTATGTCACCAACCTTGCATCATACTTCTAAACTCTGAAGTACACAGGCCCAATTTACTCAATCTCATATTCATGTAAAACGTCCCATAAAAATTAAGTATGGTATATCAAAGTAAGTCAGGACTAATGTTAACACTTCCTCAATTAAAATATAATCTACCCAGTCAAACTAAACAGAAAATGCTGAAACAAAAGGTTCAACCACTTACCGCATCATCCCATCCATTACTAACAATGATTTGATCCATTTGCTTTCGGTCGTCATCATAAGTCTCCTCACTGAGTCTGATGAGAACATCTATGAGTTTCCTTTCAGACTCCCAGGAATGTATAAAATGGGTAGGACTTCTTGCCATTTTATTGTCTCTATGGGGAGCATCGGAAAATGGTATTTTTTCGCACTCAATCATGTCTTCATCCTGAGACTCCATTTTCTATGTAAGGTTTTTGTTAGATTGTTTATCTGTCAAATGAAGTGAATCATGCAGTTAATCCCTTACTACATTCAAGTTAAAGCAAAATCATTAAATATTAAATAAGACATTGTACTTACTATTTAATGACATTACTTCACATACGATTGATATTGTTTTCTCCGTGTAAAAGAGGTTGCCTTCTCAAAATGGCAAACCTTTTTGTTTGCAATCGTACAGAATGCTATGATGTAAACCACAAAGTTGTCCCACATCCATCAAAGAGGCAAATGGTTTCAAAACCAAATAGATACAAATATACTCTTTATAAGTTCTGCCTGGCTAAATAATACATTATGCATGATATAGTATATTATGCTGTCTAGATATAACAATATATCATTTGACTTAGCATTGATACTGCCACAGGATATCTGCTGATCCATTTGTATAACAATTACTGGATGAAAAAAGAAGCAACATTATTCACTTTGGTAGGAGGAACGTATGCAGAATATTTCTTAAATGTTAAGATGTCGGAAAGTACAGACATAAAGAGGAACCTGGGTGTCCTTGTTGATAAATCATTGAGGCTAAGATGGAGGTACAGCCAGTTCTGAAGTCTAATGGAATTTTAGCCTTTATTGCAACAGGATTTGAGTACAGGAGTAGCGAAGTCTTGCATCAACTGTAAAGGAGCCTGGTTAACCCCTACCTGGAACACTATGTATAGTTTTGGTCTCCTTTTCTTCGGAAAGATGTTGTTGCCATTGAGTGACATCAACAAAGATTCATCAGATTTGTTCCCGAGATGGCAAGACTCCTACGAAGAAAGATTGAACAAACTGGGTCTGTTTTCACTCGAGTTTTGAAGAATGAGAGGTGATCTCATTGAAGTCTACAAAATACTTAAAAGGGTATATGCAGGTAAGATGCTTCCCCTAATTGAGGAACCTAGAACCGGGGACACAATTTAAAATTAAAGAGATACCACTTTGGTCTGAGATGGTAAATGTTTTTACTCAGAGGGTTGTGCACTTCTGGAGTACTCCCCACATAGGGCTGTGAGATTGATAGGTTTCTGATTACCAGTGTTGTATAGGATTTTGAGGATGGGTTAGGTAAACAGCATTGCAATGACGAAACAGCCTTTTGAGGATGTAGTGGGTCAAAGGCATTGCAGTGAGGGAACAGCCATGATCGACAGGCCGAATGGCCGACTCCTGTTCCTATGCTCCTAAAGATCAAGATCTATCTAGTTCTCTCTACATATTAGCATATGGAGGAATGAGGGAGGAAGAAAATAAGAGAACAATTATAAATGACTGTCTATTGTGACCACTGACTTCCAAAAAACCATGAGTTAAGTTGTTCAACCAATCAAATATTACCCTAAGTGGAGGTAAGTCATTGAAGGTACAGTGGACCATGTCGAAGACAACAGACAGATAGAAGAGGGATGCCACACCATAGATACAGATAACATCATCTGTGACATGGATTATGGCCAGTTGGTGGCACAGTACCTGATCACAGAGATCAAATGAGGAGTTTAAAGGAAGATGGATACTGAATTGAGAAGAACTTTAGAGATGAGGAAGAAGCTTGCAAGGGCAGTGTAATTTGAGCAGATCATCTCCCCATGATGTTCAATCGCATTACCATCACTAAATTGCCCCAGGTATCATTCTCGGGGTTACCGCTGTCCAGAAACTGAACTGGACCAACTCTTTAAATACTGTGGCTACAAGAGCAGATCTGAGACTAAGAATTCTGCAGCGAGTAACTCATCTGTCTCCTCAATGCTTGACCACCATTTACAAGGCACGTGTAAGGAATACAATGGAATAAATCCACTCACATCAATGGATGAAGCTCCATCAGTACTCAAGAAGCTTGACAACACCATCCAAGACAAAGTAGTCTACATGTTATGTACGCCATCTTTAACATTCATGCCTTTCACCACCAATGCACAGTGGCAGCAGTACATACCATCTACAAGACGCATGTAACTAAACTGATCTTTATGGACTTCAGTAAGGTATTCAACAAGGTTCCTCATATGGAATACAGGGAGAACTAGCCATTTGGATACAGAACTGGCTCGAAGGTAGAAGTTAGAGAGTGGTGGTGGAGGGTTGGTTTTCAGACCGAAGGCCTGTGACCAGCGGTGTGCCAGAAGGATTGGTGCTGGGTCCACTTCATTTTGTCATTTATATAAATGATTTAGATAGGAGATATGGTTAGTAAGTTTGTAGATGACCCCAAAATTGGACGTGTAGTGGACAGCGAAGAAGGTTACCTCAAAGTACAACAGGACCTTGATCAGATGAGCCAATGGGCCGAGGAGTGGCAGATGGAGTTTAATTTAGATAAATGTGAAGTGCTGCATTTTGGAAAGGCAAATTGGGACAGGACTTATACACTTAATGGTAAGGTCCTGGGAAGTGTTGCTGAACAAAGAGACCCTGGAGTGCAGGTTCATAGTTCCTTGAAAGTGGAGTCCCAGGTTGACAGGATAGTGAAGATGGTATTTGGTACATTTGCCTTTATTGGTCAGTGTATTGAGTACATGAGTTGGGAGGTCATGTTGCAGCTGTGGACATGTGTTAGGCCACTTTTGAAATTCAGCGTGCAATTCTGGTCTCCCTGCTATAGGAAGGATGTTATGAAACCTGAAAAGGTTTACAAGAATGTTGCCAGGGTTGGAGGTTTGAGCTAAAGGGAGACGCTGAATAGGCTGGGGCTATTTTCTCTGGTCCATTGGAGGGGTGACCTTATAGAGATTTATAAAATCATGAGGGGCATGGATAGAGTGAATAGCCAAGGTCTTTTCCTCAGGCTAGCGGACTTCAAAACTAGATGGCATAGGTTTAAGTTAAGAGGGGAAAGATTTAAAAGGAACCTAAGGGGCAACTTTTTCATGCAGAGAGTAGTGCATGTATGGAATGAGCTGCCACAGGAATTGGTGGAGGCTGGTACAATTACAATATTTAAAAGACATCTGGATGAGTATATGAATGGGAAGGATTTAGAGGTATTTGCGCCAAATTCTGGCAAATAGGACTAGATTAATTTAGGATCTGGTAGGCATGGACGAGTTGACTGAAGAATCTGTTTCCATGCTGTACAGCTCTATGACTCTATAACCCAAGCTGTATGAATAACATCTTCCAAACGCGCAATCTCCTCCTCCAAGAAAGACAAGAACAGCAGATCTATGGGGACACCACCACCTGGAAATTCTCCTCCGTGCCACACACCATAGTGATTTGACTATCACTGCTCTTGCTGTCATTGGGTCAAAATCCTGGAAGCCCTTCCCTACTAGCATTGTGGGTGTACTTATACCACATGGACTGCAGCAGTTCAAAAGGGCAGCTCACTGCCATCTTCTACAGGGCAGTTAGGGTTGGGCAATTATTGCTGGCCTAGGTAGCAATAATTGCCCAAAACAAATTTTAAGAAAAACACGGGGTATGCTGGAAATCTGAGATAAAAGTCCTGGCGAAGAGTCCTATCAGACTTGAAACATTAATTCTGTCTCTTTCTCAACAGATGCTGCCAGATCTAGTGAGTTTCTCCAGAACTTTCTGATTTTACCTCTTGTATGCTAGCTAAGGGTCATTAACATCTCACCACTGTCTCCTTATTTTTGCCCACTGTGGCTAAAATATGTCACCTCTACCAACAGTGAAAGTTCTTGGAGGACTTGGAGCTTCACAAGTGTTCATAGTGTACAACACTTGGTATAACTTAAAGCAAGGCTTTAAAAGATCGCATGTCCATTGTGTTTTTGTATTAGATATTAAAAGTATGTGTGTGTGTACGAAGAATTTAACAAAGCACTGCAGATGCTGAAGATCGCAAAAACATAAACTGCTGGAGAAACTCAGCAGGTGTGACAGCAACTTTGGAGAGAAAACTGTTAACGTTTCAAGTCCAGTTTGGCTCTTCATGGCAGCTAGGAAAAAGTGGTATTTATGGTGATGGCAGGATTGGAGTGTGAGGGAGAGGTATGAGTGGATAGATGGAGACAGATCTCGGAGAGAAAAACGTGTAGAGAGACAAATAGATTTTTAATAGGAAGAGTTGACAACTAGTCTCTGATACAGTGATGTCAGTGATATGGGTTAAATTCCCACATTGGCTGAGGTTACCATGAATGCCTCCACTTACCTGGGGTCTAGTGACCCTCAGGTTAAACGACTACTTTTCATCCGGAGGCTTCTGCTCTGAGGGCATGAGTTCACATCCCACACTCCAATTGTTAATTGGGAACAAAAACAAAGTTACTGGAAAAGCTCAGCAGGTCTGGCAGCATCTGTGAAGGAGAGAACAGAGTTAACGTTTCGGGTCCAGTGATCCTTCCTCAGAACCCAGTTGTTAATTGGTGGGATTTGAATTCAATGAACAAACTCTGGAATTGAAGTCATTGTTGTGAGAAAAGCTACCTGATTTATTTTAGGAACCCTTTGGGATTTCAGAACAACAGAAATGTGTTTGATTTTAGGAAGGGTTTTAGTTCAAGGACAATTAGGGATGCAAAAGTACTGGCTGGAATGTTTGCCAGAAAGAATAAAACAGCCATCTCTCTCTTTTGAGAGCAGCTTTGTAGTCTAGTAAGACTATGCCCACATTAGTTTTTACCTTTTTGCTGATGAGGGGAAGGAGAGGTGATAAGACAGGGCTTATGACTAAGTGGAAGTGTTAAAACCTGACAGAACCTTGTGGGCCAAAAACAGAAATTTGCTGGAGAAACTCAGCAGGTCTGGCAGTGCCTGTGGCCAGAAAATACAGTTAACAGTATGACCCTTCTTCAGAACTGTTGGGGTTGCAACCGTCACGGAAGGGAAGGGTAAGGAGACTGCGGCTCGGAGTGAAATCTCTGATATTCCGTGCCCCACAGTGAGCCTTACTTGCCTGTTCAGTTCATGTATTGTTCCACCCACATGCTTCAGTCATGAACGGTCACTGTTTCGGAAACAGAGTGTGGATGGTGGTGCTGAGGCTAGCATCGAGCTCATTGCGTGGTATTCCCTCAGAGACAGAGGTTGGAAAGACCATCAAGGACCTTGGTGGTCGGGGGAGGAGGGCATGAGGGCGGGATGAGAGCGGTTACCATGACAGTTATTGTGCTGCCCGCCGCCGACGCGGGCCGGATGTGACGACCCGCGCGGCTGCGCACTCTTTTGTAAACGACCGGAAGTGACGGCGCGGATCAGCCGGTGGCGCACGATTCGAGAAGGTTCGAGGCGGAGTAGGCCTCAGGCTCGAGAGGCCGCGGAGATCGAGGAGGAGTGACAGCCGTCCCAAAGGAGAGGCGCTGGACGCGGGACGGCAATTTCCCCCTCCCCTCCAAAGAGAAAGAGATGTTCCGGCCGAATTTCCGACCGTCCCGGGCGGGGTTCCGCAGCCCGCCGCCAGGCCCGGGCCCAGGCTCAGGCCCGTTCACCGGGACGGGACAGTCCGGAGGAGGCAGCAGCATGTACTCCTGGGGTAGCTCGGCCACCCCGCCCTACGGAGGCTGGCAACCCCCCCGGGGTGTCTATAATAAATCTCCGCAGCAGCAAGGCCCGGGCTCGGGGTCTTTCCAACACCGTTACCAGAGCCCGTCTCCCGGACAGCAGCAGCAACAGGGTTTCAGCGGCGGCGGAAGCAGCCCCCGGCACCGGGGCCGATACTCCTCTCCCCCCTACCTTCACCATCCGCAGCAGCACACGCTGTCTCCGGGGCCTCAGACACACTCCCCTAGCCCGCACCACCGCAAATACCAGGCTTCGCCCAGGACGTCCACCCCATTCAGCGGCGGGGGCAGGTCCCCGGCGCCGGTGGAACAGTACTACAAACCTTCCATGCTGCAGGACCCTTGGGCTGACCTGGAGCCAGTCCTTGTCTCTGACATTCACCAGCAGTACAGCAACCTGCAGACCCCCAGCACTGGCAGAGGACGGAGATATTTCACTTAGCAGCAAAAAGACTCAACATTAACCATCCTTTTCTCGTGTGTGTATGTGTATGTCTGTCTGTGTATCTACCAAAGGTAGAGTAACTCCCTCAACCGGCCAACATGGATCGAGAGCTATTCTGGTTCCCACTAGCATTGCATTCCACAGACAAATTTTTTTTTTTAAAAAAAGACAGGATTTTGATTACAATTTTTTTGCAGAATCAACTTTTTAAAAATAAGTCCTATTTTTTTACCCAGGCACCTTTTTTTTTCCTTTTTTGGCAACACCAGTGTCTCGTTGGATGTTACCCGGAGAGTATTAACTACTTCAGAATTGGGAAGTGCCTGCTCAGAAGAACTGTTGAAATGTTCTTTAAAATCACCAGCTAGTGAACAATGACTAATTATTTTACAGGTGTCCGCCACTCCTATGCATTAATGAACAGGTTAGATAGCATGTGATCTGATTTTTACTAAACCATTGAATTGGTCATTTTTAAAAATTTTTGTCAACTTTTTTAATTGAAGATTGAAATGTCAATGTTTAATTTTGTATAATCCATGTTTCTAGCATATATGCGTGTGAATGTTAGGATAAACAAAAATGATTCAGGTCTGGTTCAATAATGTTATGGCAATTCTTGGGCTATGTGCAGCAAAGGTGCGAGGTGTGCTGCTGTTCCTTCAGTTTTCAGTATTTTTATTTTCAACTTTTTTTTTCAAGAAAGTCAAAGAACAATTTGAGGAAATGTGAAATCAATTTGCAAACATAAGTTGTGGGCATTGTGGGAGTATAATGGATTGTTCTGTGATTACTGCATATTGTTATATTTGGTAGCACATAAACCTACCAGTATATATAAGAGAATTTTATTGTAGGGTGGATGGAAAGACAGATTTCTCAGTGGCTGATAGCTCGAATTGTTTCTTACCTTGGTATTTATCATAAAAATAAAGTTTTCCTGATTTTTTTTTTAAAATCTTGGGATTATGGAAAAGTGCTGTTTGTTGTTTTCTTAAGCACTCATTTGAGAGTGAAAATGTGTATACTTTTAATTCTGCTTGCAATCAGTCACGATTTTATCAAATACCTTCCTAGATCTTGGAGAGATAGATGTGCTAACTTGTATTGTGCTTCCATTCCGTCAGTGCTGAAAGTTGTATGTACCTGGCCATACTTGTGTAAAACTAAGACGTTGAGTTTTGCTGGGTTGGGTTCCACAGCTAAGATCAGTGGTTCTTTCACCTGGGTTGCGTATATGCATTTTCTGACAGGGTTGGGTGGTGACAATGGCAACATAAACACGATTGACCTCCAGGACCAGAGCATTTGTGCAAATAGCCCCTGCACTGGGCGTGTGGTTAATGATAGAATAAAATTTCAGATTGTGATCTTTTGTGGCTCGTTATAACATTAGGTAGGACATAGACTGACAGAATATATACATTTTCTTTGCCTTTACATATTGTACACTGAAGAACACTTCTGCCCTAAATTTGGGGGATAATGAAGTACGTATATAGAAATAAAAGCTTATTTTGATTATGCAGGCAGTCTTGCCAGTGCCAGAATGTATCAGCACAGTAATGTTTGTGACCTCTTGGGATGTACGCTGTTTTAATGTGGTTCAAATTTCAGCCTTACAGTGCAATTACGTTAATACGTCCAATACTTATATGGTAATATTCCTATCCTGATCAAACAGTACATCCTGTGACTTGCAGGAACTCTGATAATTTGCAAATTATCAATGTGATAGCTGCATGTTTCTTGTCTTATTGTACTCCTGTCACATTCAGATATGTTTATATTTTTAGACCTCCCCTAATCTTGAATATCTACAGCATTTAGTGGATGTTTGCACAGGTTGTAGTTTTTAAAAAATTGACATATATCCACAGAGGCTGAATATTAGTGTTTTAACTGGTATCTTGTTCATAGAATCATAGGATCCCTACAGTGTAGAAACAGGGCCTTCAGCCCAACAATTCCGCACCAAACCTCAGAGTGTCCCACCCAGACCCATCCCCCTATAACTCACGTAATCTACACATCCCTGAGCACTATGGGCAATTTAGCATGGCCAATCCACCTAGCCTGCACATCTTTGGACTGTGAGATGAAACTGGAGCACCCGGAGGAAACCCACGCAGACACAGAGAATGTGCAAACTCCACACAGACAGTTGTCCGAGGGTGAAATCAAGCCCGGGTCCCTGGCGCTGTGAGGCAGCAGTGCTAGCCACTGAGCCACCGTGCTGCCCTAAAAATAGTCACTATGCCGTTCTTACCCATATTTTCATATTGCCTTAATTGTGACTGGGAGGCTGGATGTTTACTCAGATTGACATGTGTTCAAATTCTTTGAAACAATTATTCATGGGATGAAGGTGTTGCTGTTGAGGTCAACGTTTAATGCTGATCCAAATTGTCCAGGGAGTAAATTAAGAAAATCAACCACATTAATGTAACAACAAACAAAGAACTGTGAATGTTGGAAATTTGAAATTGTTGGAGAAACTCAGATCTGGCAGCATCTGTGGAGAGAAAGCAGAGTCAGTGTTTTGGGTCCAGTGACCCGTCTTTGGACCTGAGTTTCTCCAGCAATTTGTTTTTGGATGACATTGGTATGTCTGAAATTACACATTGACCAGACAAGGATGGTAAATTTTATTCCCAAAAGGGTATTAGTGTACCAGATGAGTTTTTACAGCAATCTACAGTAGTCACCATTATGCTAACTTTATTCCAAATTTTTATTGAATCAAGTTTTGTCATATGCACAGACCTTTGGTCCAGCTAGTCCACGCCAACCATGTTCCCAGACTAACTAGTCCTATTTGCCTGGTTATGGCCCATATCCCTCTAAAGCATTCCTATTCATATCTTCATCCAAATGACTTTTAAATATTGCAACTGTACCAGCATCCACCACTTTCTCTGGCAGTTCATTCCACACACAAACCACTGTGTATAGTTGAGGTAGTAACGGACACTCATTTGAATATCCGAACATCCATTATTTGAATATAGACAGATAATATTAAAACGTTAGATGATCAAAAATTTTAAGATTGTGGCAGAGTGCTGAAACTTTGAGCATTTGTCCTGTTTTCATTAAAGGTTTAGTACTAGACAAAAATTAGAATAGGTGAAAGTTAGTTGCCAATTAAAGTGTGCATTTTCATTTTCATCATTTTCTCTTTGATTTCCAGCACTTGTGGTTTGATCTTTACCTTGTGCATTTTCTAGTCTTTGTTTCATGTAATGCAAATAACTGAAGCAGTCAAGTTGAAAATGGCTGTATCTGATGCAGAAGCCACCTCTAGGTGGCATAAAGAGCACACTAATGACCAGACATGATGGAATGATGGAAGGATATGGTGCTGCTGAAATTGTTAATAATGGAGTTCAGGACTTGGGAGACCTGAAGCACTCCAATCTCACATTAAGGATGAGTGATGAGGGAAACTGGTGCAGCAATGACCCTGGGCATGGCCTCTTGGCTGCACAAGGTCTCATGCCCACCTGCACCACTCTCCCGTCGATGTGTGTTTTGGTGGTTGTTGCAAGGAGCAGGCACACCTTCCACCCCACACTAAGCTTTTGTTTGTGCTGGTGTCACTACCAGAATGTAGTGAGCTGTCATGGACTGCATCTGAGCACCTTTCCATGTTGAGGTTCATAGATTTTTATTCGTTAAGAATATTAAGAAATATGAAAGAATAAGGAAAGATTGCATTTATGTAGTGGCCTCCATGACCATGGGACAAATGCTTCACAGTTAAGTTTTTTTGTTTCTTTGCCCTACATTGGGGTATACTTTGAAGTTTCCCTGGTGATGGTATTTTTCTGGAGCTAGACTTGGATGTTTTGAGCACAGTCTCAAAATTCGCTGATGATGTAAACTTCAAAGTTTTGTGCACTGTTGATGACAGTGATAGATTAAGACATAGACAAGCTGGTGAAACAGGCAGATGTAGCAGAAAGGAGTGAATAGTACATTTTGGGAGGAACCATAACAAGGCAATATATAAAATAGAGATAACAATACAAAGAAGGTGTAGGAACAGAGACACCTTGGGATTATATGAGCTCAAGTCATTGAAAGTGGTAGGGCAGGTTGAGAAAATGATTAAAAAGAATAAGGGATCCTGAGCTGTTTAGAGCATTTAAATACAAAAGCACATTGTGTGGCGATTAATGTTTGTAGAACACTGCTTTACCCTTACCAGGAGTATTGTGTCCAATTTTGGGACTGCACTTCAGGGTGGATGACAGTTTGCCTTCAGGATATTTTATCTGATGCTCTAATCCCAATGTAATCAGTCAGGCCTTTAATATAACTGGTTATTGTGTTACAAACATTACTGGTACATCAGTTTTGAGCTAACATTAAGCTAATGGTTTATGCAGAGTAGTGTACTTTAAGTTACTCTGCAGTAAATGGTGTATGAGACCATTATAACCTTGGGTCAAATGCTATGATACAGTGAGATATCATAAGCATGTTTCTGAAAGGTATAATATACTGTGAGATATGACGACACGGAGAAGATTTACGAGAACTGTTCCAGGAATGAGGCCATTGGATGGAATGGAGACGCTGATGTTATTCCCCTTTGTCGAGAAGAGAAAGTTGAGATGATTTAAATCACATTGGGCTGAGACAGTAAACAAAAATAAACTTTGCATTGGCAGAAGGATCGAAAATCTGCGGACACGAAATCAAGGAGATTGGCAAAAGGAGCAACAGTGGGTGGCATGTGGAAATGATCAGGATCTCAAATGTGCTGCTTATGAAAATGGTTAATGCATAATCAATCATTGTTTTGGGAAGGAATTGGAGTAAGTACCTTAAGAACGAATTTGCACAGCTACAGGGAATAACTGGTGGAGAGGTACTAGGATAATTCCTGTTGCAGAGGGTTGGCATGGACTCGGGATGAATAGCCTCTTTCTGTGTTGTGACTTCTGACTTCCTTTTGAGGACATAAGGGGAGAAGTGGTTAATCCATGGTTTGGATCAGTTAGAATTTATGCATGGGTCTGGTGCAACTAGTGAAATATGTGTCACAATGTTTGTATCAACTTTCTGACCAAAGTGCACACTTCCTGCCTAATGGGCATAGTATTTTATCCACAGATTGTGATATCAGGAGCATGTGAAGTGATGTAGTTTGCATAAATCTGGAGGTATACTTGTATTATCTGGGTAGTCATCTTTAAATTATTAATTGCTGGGTTAAAAAGATGACCAGATGTGTGTATAAGGACTGATTGTGCTAATGACTTGGGACACATCAAACTGGAAAGTGGACCACAGGTTGTGTGTTCTCAAGAAACTGGAAACTATCTGGTAAACAATAGTTTTTCCAGCTTTAAATGAGTAAATATCAGGCCAGTGCGTAAAATGCTTGATTACGTATGTTCTTGTGAAACCATAACCCAGGAATAACAAAATTGCAAATTGCAAGATTCAATGTTTGTCTGAATTAATGATTTTTAATGATAATGCATTCATTTCCATTTCACTTTTCTACGACAAATATTCCTAACTTTGCATCATCATGGGCCTTCTGCCAAAAACATTTGAACTGTGTGGCTGAATAAATGGGAATCAGAGTGGCTAAATGACCTTTGAAATCTGTTCACACAGGTGAATGCTGCCACAGACAGAGGATTCCTTCACCTAAGTATTCTGTGTTGTGAACAATTATCAAAAACTGCAGTTTGATAAAGCAAGATTTACTGACATTTTCAGCTTTAAAAAATACCTATTGGCTCATTTCTTGATTCGAAGAAATGTTCGTGAAGTAATTTAAATCAAGCTTATTTTAAAAGATATTAAATGTGGAGGGATCTTGAGGGGTTAAGAAAGTTTCAAACTTATAAGAAACAACTTTGTTCAGATGTATCATTTTGTGTAGAACTGGTGAATGTCAATGGCAATATTCTGGCCAAATGCATTCACAAAGAATAAATAGAAGATCAAGCAAA